CCCACCCCGCCAAAGTTATGTGGACATCTGATCCCCAACGTGGCCGTGTTGGAAACTGATTGAGTCATGGGGGCAGATCCCACGGATTAATGCTCTCCCTGGGGGTGGGGATAGTGAGTGAGTTCTCGCTCTGTTAGTTCGCAGAGAGCTGGTTGCTTAAAAGACCCTGGCACCTCATCTCTCTCTCTCTTGCTTCCTTTCACCGTGTGATCTGCTTGTACCCGCCGGCTGCTGCCACTTTCTGCCTTGAGTAGAAGCAGCCTGAGGCCCACACAAGATGTAGCTGTCCCAGAATTGTGAGCCAAATAAACCTCTGTTCTTTATAAATTGACCAATCTCAGGTATTCTGTTATAGCAACACAAAACAGACTAATACAATAGATCATTGTGTGTAGGTATATTACGGGTGTATTAGTTTTCCACTGCTGCTATAACAAATTACCCCAAACTTGATACTTAAAAGCAACACAAATTTCTCTTACACTTCTGTAGGTTAGAAGTCTGACTTGGGTCTCAATGGGTTAAAATCAAGATGTCCAAAGGGCTGCATTACTTTCTGGAGGCTCTGAGGGAGAATCATTTTGTTGCCTTCTCCAGTTTCCAGAGGAGGCTCCCTACATTCCTTAACATATGGCTCCCTTCCTCCATCTTCAAGGCTAGCAACATTGCATCTCTGACCCTTCTGTAGTCATATCTGCCTCTGACCACAGCTGGGAAAGGTACTCTGATTTTAAGGACCCCTGTGACTGCAATGGGCCCACTCAGATAACCCAGGATAATCTTCCCACCTCATAGTCCTTAACCTTAATCACATCAGTAGTCCTTTTTGCCATGTGTAGTAGCATATGCACAGGTCCCAAAGACTGAGAAGTGGATATCTTTGTGAGGGGGCCATTATTCTCCCTACTACAGTGGGAGGTGGTAATATTTAGTTCATAGGACAATAAAGCAGCATCAGAAGATATTAATGTAGACATATATAAGTAAATTTGGTGTATAATAATGAATATTTATTAATGAAGAGAATAACCATCTCCTTTCTTTAAATAAAGTATACCTCTTAATACCATCACATTGGGGGTCAGGGCTTCAACATATGAATTTGGGGGGAGCACAAACATTCAATCCATAGCATGTACCATATGGGTGTCTGTTATTACTATAATTTAAATGAGAGGGGGACCTGAACTAGGATAACAATGGAACAAGAGCAAAATGCATTGCAGAGAATGAAGCAAAAGAAGAATTTAAAGAGTGCTTTGAATGCACTGAGCCAGGGTGAATGTAAGAAAGTGCCTTTTCTCCACATCTGCACTAGCATTTGTTTTCTGTCTTGTCAATAATAAACATTCTAACTGGAGTGAGATGATATCTCATTGTAGCTTTAATTTGCATTACCCTAATGATTAGTGATTTTGAGCATTTTTCATGTGCTTGGTGGCCATATATGGAATCTAAAAAAAAAAAGGTTCTCATAGAAGTAGAGGATAGAATAATGGTTACCAGAGGCCAGGAAGGGAAGGGGGTGAGGGGGGAAGAGAAGTGGTGGACTAACACGCACAAAACTCTGCTGTCTACCCTCAGTGAATTATTGTGCAGTATATGCATGTATTGAAACAACACACTGTACCCCACAAAAATAAATATAAATAAAATTAAAAAAATAATTAGGAGCTACCTTAAGAACTATTAAATAGATAAAAAAAAAAAAAAAAAAAATGGTGTAAAGAAGAAAGTACCATTGCTGGAAGAGTCTGGTTAGAGGTGTTTTGAATGCTCAGGGATGTTAAATTCCATTTGAGGCATGTGACCTGAGGGGACAACATCCTCATAAGTGTGAGCCTCAAGAGAGAAAAATGTACTGTAAGCAACAAATGCAAGCCACATAGATAATCTTAAGTTTTCTAGTAGCCTTGTAAAAAAAAAGTTTAAAAAACATACAAGTGACATTAATTTTAATAAGTATTATTATGTAATAAATGTTTAACATTTAATAATTATTTGATAATGTTTAATATTTATTATGTAATAAGTGTTTTTTATCATTTATTACATAATAAATATTACATATTCTAACATCTCTATGTGCTCCATCCACATTTCAAGTGCTCAATAGCTGTGTAGGTCTAGAAAGGTGAATGAAGTGGCCAGTTACAAAGTCGACTCCTCTCTCTGCATGCAAATGTGAATCCATGTTTGGGTTGTTCCTGCTTTTTTTGCGAATATGAACAATGCTGTTATGAACAGTCATACACACAACTCCTGGTGTGGGAAGTCTCGCTGGGAGGTAGCAAGTGAAATAGTGCCAAATTGTTTTCTAAGATGCTTGTTCCAGTTTACACTCAGAGTAGTATGTGAAAGAGTCTTTGTTGTTCCATACATATCCTCATTAATATTTGATATAGTCACATTTCTTCATTTTGGTCAATCTAGTGGGTGAAAAATGGCATCTTATTTTGTCTTAATTTACATTCTTGATGATTAGTGATTATGATTAATGAGTTTAAACATATTTTCATATGCACATGAACCTTCATTTTTCACTTCTGTGGAAATCACAAATATTCATTCACAAGTATGTATTAATTCAAATATAAATATATATATGTTGTGTAATGTTATATTCATATATTCATATATCATATATTCATTCAAATATAAATATTTGTTCATGTACAAATATTCATTGAGAACCTACTACCTGGTAAATATTGGTCTAGGCACTGGGAATATACTAGTGGGGAAAAAAATAGTCCCAAATCCCTGCCATCGTGGAATTTACATTCTAGCATGTTTGAGGGCATGGGGCAGATACAAAAAAAATAATGCCATATGTTATATGGCGTTAGTGAACTTGGGTTTAAGTTTGGCTCAGACATTTCACATCATTAAATCTTGGTTTTTACGATTATAAAAAGGAGGCGGTAATAGTATCTATCTTATATTATTTATTAAATGCACATGAAGAACTTGACACAGTGCTTGGCAAAAGGTAAGGATTCAGAAATACTAACAGCACTAATAATAACAATATTATTTTCCCATTTCTTGCTCCCACTCTTTCTTCACTGGATTTAATTTTTTCAGTAAGAACTACTGAAGTTTAAACATTAAATATGTTTAGGATGTTGTTGAAGTGTTTGCTATAATTTGGGTGTCAACCTACAGGTATTTTCTGCAACAAGACATATGACTTTGGCTAATTTTGAGATTTGTTATTTTCAAGCTTCTTAAATTCCAAGGACCAAGAGCCTGAGAACAATGTGTGTTTTAAAAAGCTGCATTGGGCCGGCCCGGTGGCGCACTGGATAGTGCGCTGCTTGGGAAGCGCGGCGGCGCTGCCGTCCTAATTTAGGACTGTGTTCTGTGACTATAAATGTTGCTTGAATTAATCATTTCAATTCTACAACCAATTTATTGAAAATCTTCTATGCAAAGTACTGTGTAGAGGAGATACACATGACCTTATTAATAATCTTTGGAATAATTATTTGTCCTTTTTTAGATAATGATGTTGAAAATGATCTTCAATCAGACATCAGTTGAGCACTGCAAGACACACACAGGAAAGGAGAAAGAATGCAGCTTCTTCTTAATAGCTGTTCGCCTGGCTTCATTGAACCAGATCTTGGATCCTTGGGTTTATCTGCTGCTAAGAAAGATCCTTCTTCGAAAGTTTTGCCAGGTAGCAAATGCTGTCTCCAGCTGCTCTAATGATGGACAGAAAGGGCAGCCTATCTCATTATCTAATGAAATAATACAGACAGGAGCATGAAAGAGAACACTTAATTACCTTGCATGTTCACAGCTTTTGGCAACAAATATCCCTAAACCTTACTGTGAAGTTAGGCATCTCTGGCATGCCACTGTTTATGCATTGAAGTGGAATTTTTGATATAAAGCTAAATAGTCTCAGAATCATAGATAATCCCTTATGTGCCAAAAGTATTGAAACACAAACAAAAATATATTAATAGCAGTCTAGTGTTTTTTGGGTCTCTGCCATTTGTAGTTGAATGTGATTAATTATGTGATGAAAACATTTTTTATAAATGACCTTCGTCTATTGGTGGGAGGCAGGGATAGCTACTCTTCCAGTATACTGAGCACATGGGGGATTTAACCGCATATATCACTGAAGACAAGGAGATAGCGATTTGTTTTTGTTCAGGGACATTGGTCTCTGTGTTCTCTTTCATTGTTTCTCTACTTTCCCTCTGTCATTCCCCCACCCTTACATTTTTAGGAGAGTTTAAATTGGATGAAAAAAAGTATCACATATCCAGAATATTCATTGATACTGAGTTATTTAAATATTGCTCATTATATCAAATTAGCTCCTAACCTTACAGAGTTTAAGTTCTGGTTGGGTTGATAATTAGGTTTGCTCCTTACGTGAATAAGAGTTCGTGACTACCAAATTGCTAAATATTCTTTCTTTTGAATACATTTTGCATTCCTACAAGCCTGGAGAAGATTCATGAAACTGATCTATAAGAGACAGTGAAGTGATTTTTCCAAATGCGGTGTAACAACTGCTTTGAGCAAAATATGGGTACTCTGATTAATTATTTCCTCTGATTTTTCCACCAAAAGTATTCTCTGGTCTTTTGAATCTTCAAATACCAACTCTGATTCTACAACAAATAAATATTTTGAAGATTTGATGAAGACTTTCCATTGTTTGGCCTATTTATAGGATAAGAAAATGAATAATTTTGGCCTGTTGCAGCTCTTTCTCTGCCCTGTCCTCAAAGTAACTCTATCTAAATATTTATTATTAAAATGTCTTTCCTACAATATACATGAATACAAACCTTGATAGCTAAGCTTGACATCTTTGTGGCACAAGTAGATCACTACATTAAGTTTTGGGAATTGCAGTTTTTACAAAAGTGTCCCCATCAAACACAGTGGTCCTTTAAGTTAAACCTACCCAAAATGCTGTCACATTCTTTGGCACATTCATTTTGTAAATCCATTTTAATTGGTTTTAATTGCAGGCTATTTCATTGCTTTCCTAGTTTTTTAAAAGCTTGAGATTTATACTTTGTATAGTAACTGCATTTTTCTTTGTGCTTAGTAGGCATTTCAAGAAGAAAGAATTCTAACGTGTACGCTATATCTATTAGATTAATACATACATCAGTTTAGGTCAATGAACAATAATCAATATAAATGGCCATGTCAAATTGAGTCAGAAGACAGAATCTGCTGAAAGTGTTTATGTAATTCATCATGGTTCCACTAATCTAAATTTTGGGAAAGATGAGTAATAATTTCTACTGAAACCCCATTGTAAAATCTCTCTAAGCCATAGAATTGGGTAATCCTATAGGTCACTTTATGGGGTATAAGACAAAACAACCTACTTTATCTTAAGGAAAAAAAATGTACTTATATGACCGAATCTAAATTTTGGGAAAGATGAGTAATAATTTCTACTGAAACCCCATTGTAAAATCTCTCTAAGCCATAGAATTGGGTAATCCTATAGGTCACTTTTGTGGGGTATAAGACAAAACAACCTACTTTATCTTAAGGAAAAAAAATGTACTTATATGACCGATACTAAAGAAGCTTTACCTCTTGGGTGGTCTTCTGACCCTAGTTTACAATCAAATAGGCCCACAGGCGGTATGCATTTGAGTGGTATGAGCATGATTGGGTTCTTTCTTTCAGCACCTAGTATAGCATCTATAATATAAAAATTATCCAATAAATATTTGTTCAGTGCATAAATAAATAAAAGTCTGCCAAAACTGAGTGTACATTAGCGAGGCATATGCAATATAGTTAAAGTGCTTCATGCCATTACAGTTCATCAAGCTGATACAGTGAATGGCTTCTGCTTATTTAATTACAGAAATATGAATTTATCTTCAAAGATGTAATGTCACATTACTATACAAAAAGGTGCTTTGTTTGTACTAATACTTTAGGAGACTAATACTTCCAAATGATAATGGAGATGATTGTCAAAAGAATATCACTTTTCGTCAAACCACAAAAATAGACAAAAGAGCCCGAAACTTACACTAAACTACAGAATAAATTCCTGCCCAGGGGATACATGGTAGGAGTGGATGATTGGCAGCTTTTGAACAAGCTTGAAAAGGAAATGGAAAAAAAAGAAATTGTGTAAATGGCATGTGAGTTCCGTTATCTACACAGCCATTTGTTAGTCCAGGGAAAACCTGATAAGAAGCAAAAATCCCAAATGATTTTAGCCTTCGGATGATACTTGAGGTTAGATTTCAGAGGCAGTATGCTGACGCTCTAGATGTGGTTAGAAAAGTAGACATCTACAGTCCCTGAAGAAGGGCATTTTAGTCTGTTTCTAAGTTTAAGTTTATTGGCCTTTAAGTTCACTCTCATACACTTAGTTTATCCATGTGTATATCTGAGGAGGAAAAATGCATGCATAAATTAGGACAATTCCTGAACTATGAAGTATTGGTTAAAAAACAATTAGAGGCCTAGAAAATCATGTAGAAAGGAGAGAGTGTATGGAATGTAGAAATATATGTGAAATCAACAAGTGTTGATTTTACAAAGCAGTCCTGATTTTCCAAACAATGAATTTATACACTATGTTGTGTCATAGAAGAGAATGATGACATACTATCCAATAAGAACAGTTTACTTTTCAAATAAAATAGGTATAGTGAATGTCTTGAAAATATTTCTAAATTAAAGAAACAAAATGTGCTATCTCAAGATTTACCAAATTTACCTAATGCTATATACCAAGATATTTTAAGTAAATGTAAGTGTTTAATCCTGCCAGAAATTAAAGGTGTGTATATATTTTTACTTAACACCTCTTTATTTCATGAAAGATTTCTTGGCCATGTTACAGAAAAAATGTAGAATCTCATGAAAGTTAAGTATGAAAGATCCCGTGACTCTGTCAGCATTGATTAAAAGATAAACTTAAAACTCTAACAAGCAGTATTTTAATAAGGTGGTCACTCTGTGGCAGTATTCTAATGTTAGATTTTCAAGTGGATTAGGTCTTTTATTTATTCAGTGCTTTTTATATTTTTCTTGGCTTTTGACCCCAAATTAGTGATTAGCATTCAATCTCTTCCATACCAAAATCACTTAATATGTTTTTTGGGGGTTGTGATCAAATCAGAGACTGAAAACAGGAAGATTTTGTTCATTGAGACTATAGGCATGCATATTGCCTGCTTTTCTTTTTCCATGACCATGAAAATACTCCAAATCCCTACTTATTTTCATCATTTAACTCCAAAAGCTTCTCTTGGAATAAACGGGATACTAGGAGATGAGTGACAGTGAGACTGCAGAGTATTTATTACTATAAATGCACTCAAAGCTTTATTTAAATAATTAAAATTTCTGTCTTATCTGTATTAAAACTTTAGGTCATCAACCGTGACATATTTTTATCACAAGTGCTTGTTTATTACTTGCTTTGTGCTTTTATATGTCTCACAATCTGTTAAAATTTGGGTCTAAATAAATGTGCAGAATTGTGCAACTGTGGCTAAGTCCATAGGACTGTTTTCTGAGTTGCAATAAAATGCTGATAAGAGGTGACATATGTCTGTGATGCTTCATGACATAGTTTATGATAGAGCCAATTTACACAATTTAAAAATCAACCTAAACTCACATACACATTTTAAAAGAAACTGACATCAGTTCAGTATTATAAGGAAACTAATAAGTTGAGATTACATATGTAATATGAATCAGAGAATTAGAGAAAATATTAGGGAAATTTTTTTATCTATTTTCTATTTTATAGTTTCTAAAATGAAGATTCTATTTAAAGACTTATAATGTATACCAGTTTAGTTATATACCATTACTGTGTGATACCATAATAGTACATTACAATTCTCTAGAAATATGATTTAATCATATATATTATATTAACTTATATGTCACATATTTTCTTTATTAAGAATATAAATTATTTTATTTTCAGAAGCTTTGCATCAATCAGTTTTATATAAAAAGCAACCCAAAATATCTGCTGGGCTGCATATTTCTTCATTGGGAACTAGACTGATTCCCCCTACCCTCATGCCTCTAACCTCACTATGCATTCTCTCTTAGAGAGAAAGTCACAGAAATATTTACTATTGGTGAAGCCGGGATTGTTTTTAAGAGGAGAGAAAACAGCTTTATATTTTCAATATGTCAATGCCCTCATTTAACTGCATATTTCTTCATTGGGAACTAGACTGATTCCCCCTACCCTCATGCCTCTAACCTCACTATGCATTCTCTCATAGAGAGAAAGTCACAGAAATATTTCCTATTGGTGAAGCCAGGATTGTTTTTAAGAGGAGAGAAAACAGCTTTATATTTTCAATATGTCAATGCCCTCATTTATGAAACAGATCTGAATCTGTTTTTTAATAAGTCTGCTTTGATGGAGCAATTTTATTATGGGAGTCAAGGTAGTAAGGAAAGAGATTACCATCAGGAGTAAATACTTTTTGAGCATCTCAGAGATGACCCTACCTCTCAAGTTATTTTCAGATGTGCAGCTCTTAAATTCCATTGTGAAATGCTTTAGAATTAGAAAGTTTTGATTCTTTAGTTTAAAGTAAATCAGATATCTAGCCAAAGCTAGCTAAACACTGAACTTTAATAGTAATTTGAAAATAGTTTTCTTATACAGTTTTCAATTTCTGTAGAAATCAAAACTGTAATGTTAAGCAGGGGAAAATACATGTAACTTACTGATACATTTCAATGTTCTTTCTACTTTTGAAAGGGTACTAATGCAGGGAGGCAGGAGGGATAGGGTAGAGGACATAGAGAAAGATATAATGGAGAACCTGTCCACTTCCAACCTGTGAAAATTCTTCATCTTTTAGGCAAGACCCTGGAAGCAGACAGAGGAAGGGACTGCATTTATCTTTGCACTCTTGAGCATCAGTAGGACGAAGTGAGGAGTGGCCAAGGCTTTTTTCTATAAAAACAAGTGATAAGTTCACTCAGATCATCATTGGCCACTAAACTCTCTTCCTTCACAACTCTTCTGAGAGAGAGAGACAGAGACAGAGAGACACAGACAGAGATCTTCTTTTCTTTTACCAAATGTTTTTGTGTAAATAGTATAAGGTTGTTTAAGCAAACGAATTAAAAATAGCTGCTGATGATCTTGATTTGTTTAAAGTGAAAAAAATGTAAGTACTATTTATATAGTACACCTAAGGAAGAACTGCAATCATTGGCACTTTAATCCATATTGTAAAGCTTAGTATAAAAAGCATACAGTTCACCTCCTTTCGCCATCCCACCCCTCCACACTTGGTTGAGTGGGAAGGTATATTTTGCCACCTCTATGTAAAGCTTTTTAGGTAGTTATCTTCACTATATTTAAACATATATTCCAGTGTGTTGTAAAGGCTGGTCTTCAATACTGTGGAAACAAAGAATAAAGGAGACTATAAAAAGTACATTAGCATTTTGTTGGCATTCAAGTCATAGCTAGTCTGTGTATTTAATAAATGTATGTTATTTATGTTGTGTTTATCAATGGAAAATAAAATTCAATCTTCTGAAATGTCCCTGTCTTTTTTTCCTGATGCCAGCTCATATCAGGAATGTTTCACTTATAACTATGTTAAGTATTTTGCTGAAATACTATTTGACATACTTTGTCAAATAATAGCACAATGTAAGGCAACAGCCCCATGCTGTTTGGAACAATTACATCATTTTGTTTTATAGTCCACAATAATGTACAGAACAAATTACCGTTGATTTGCTATAAGTCTGTGAGAGCTCTTTTCCCATTTTCAACATGATACATCTTCATGTTATGATCCCAAGATTATTGTTTTTAACACAAAACACATTTATAATCATTCTAAACTTAGTTCTTACTCTTTCTTGTGGTTTCTGGTGTAATATATACATATATAGGCAGCCAAAGTAAGAATTGTCCTTGCTCGTAGTCAGATCCTTTAGAAGACTTGTACCTGGGTATTGGAGTAAGCTGATTACTGGTGGAGCCTAATGCTGGGCTGCCCCACCACCCCGTTCCATGTGTTTATTCAGAACA